TTGGTGAGACCTCGTCTCTACAATAAATCAAAAATTAGCTGGAGATGGTAGCACGCGCCTGTAGTTCCAGCTACTTGGAAGACTGAGGTGGAAGGATCGCTGGAGCCCAGCAGGTTGAGGCTGAGGTAGCCATAAGCATGCCACTGCACTTCAGCCTAGGCAACAGAGTGAGACTCTGGGGTGGCCATGAGCGTGCCACTGTACTCCAGCCTGGGTGACGGAGTGAGACTCCAATTCAAAAAAAAAAAAAAAGTCAGTCCACTCAGGCCACTCCTCTGCTCAAAAACCTCCCATAGCTCCCTATGTCTCCGAGATTGAAAGCCAAAGTCTTGAAATGGTCTACTACGTTCTACAAGTCTGACCCCAACGTCACTTCAACCTCATTGCCTACTGTGCTCCACTAGTTCACTGTTTTCCAGTACAAAGTGACAAAAGCCTCCTTGCTTTTCCTGAAACAAGCCAGGCAGACTCCTGCCTCAGGGCTTTTGCTCATGCTGTTCCCCTACATCAGGAACACTCTTTCCCAGGTTATCTGCGTAGCTCACTCCCTGGCCTCCATCAGGTCTTTATTTAAATGTGTCCCTTCTCAGCGAGGCTTTTCCAGGCCATTCCATTTAAAACTGCAACCCTTTGTCTCTCCCCCTACTTCTACCTCGGCATTTCTCACCCCCAGCACACTATGTATTTCCCCCAGCCTTTCAATTGTAAACATATTCCCACATACGACGGCACAATAACTAATACAATGGCCTTACATGTACAACCTCCCACTCCATCCTTAAGGTGTTCTGAATATACAAGGTCAATATCATGACACCTCAGTCAATGACTTTAGCAACATACACCCTGTGTTTGACTTTCCTGTCTCATTTCTTATTTGTCTTTCCCCCGCCAGAACTTGAGCACCACAAGGGCAGGGATTTTGCCTCTTTTTTTTCAGGGCTGTTTCCTCAGCACCAAGAACTCCGCCTGACACATAGCACGTACTCCTGTAGGTTGCAGAGGGAAGGGACAAGACAGGTCCTGACTCTGGATCCGCCTGTCATTGACATGAAACCCTGGGGATCACGTTCTGTAGTGTGAAAGGAAAAAGCAGCAGCCTCTGCCCCTGGGATTGTAAGTGGGGGAGATGAAAGAGATGGTTTCAACCTTGAAACAGGCGTTACTCCCTTCCTGGAGGTTTTTCTTTGAAGGTTTCTCCTCTGTAAACATTGCAAGATAAATTGTATCCTTACCCACTACACCTGTCTAATTAGCACATTTGCTTCTGTAAACTCACTAGCTTGCTGATGTCAGCAGAATGTTGCGATAAGAGCTCTGGAAAATGTCCAACTCTAACTTTAGCTAACCAAAATGTAAGTTAGGACTACTTAAGGAAGCTCTGAGCCACGGCTCAAGGCCGACTTGCTTGGAATTCTCTTCCTGCAGGCAGTGGGCTGTTATTTAATCGTTCAAACCCTACTTCAGCAGTAGAACCTCAGTCTCTTCATCTGTAAGTGAGGATAACAGTACCCCTTCTCTGGGTTGCTGTGAGGATCAAAGAGGGGTGGTGCAAAACTGCACAGCCGGCACGTTTGTTAACTAAATTTCCCTCTAACTCCTTGAAGGAGGGGACTTGGTCCCGTCTGACCCTCTGTACTCTGGGCTCCAAGAGGGCAGACACCCTGCTCCAGGATGTCTGTGGCTGCAGGGCCTCGCGCAGTCCCTCAAGGGCAACGGTACATACTTCCCTGTTCTTACTGCTCCACCCCTGCATGTTGCTGGCTCACTCGGGGCTACCTAATGATCCCCGATACTTCATCTCTCACTTTACCCACTCATTAAACAGTTTCCACCAGAAATGCCCAAGGAAGGGGATACTTCACTTCATCAGGCACTGAGATTCTACTTTATCCATTTATTTATTTACTTATTCATTCATTCACTCATTCATTCATTTGTTCGTTTATTTATTTATTTATTTATTGGGATGGGGTCTTGCCCTGTGGCCCAGACTCATCTCAAACCCCTGGCCTCAAGTGATTCTCCAGCCTCAGCCTCCCAAAGTGCTGAGATTACAGGTGTGAGTCATTGTGCCTGACCTTTCTTGTTTTCTTCTTTCTTTTTTTTTTCTGAGATTTTATTTGATAAATTTTTTCCATGGATCCTTGAGCATTTTCAACAGTTGATCCAGACTCCCTTGGTCTCTTTTGCATTTTGGATTTGCTAGTGCATCTGCATTGCCATACTTGCTTTGCAGCATTATCCTGAACACAAGGATGTGTGTTTTCTGAAGAATGGAACTCATCACGTTGCACCTTCAGGCTTTCTTTTCTTTTCTTTTTTTTTTTTTTTTTGAGTTGGAGTCTCACTCGGTTGCCCAGACTGGAGTGCAGTGGCCGCTCCCGGCCACCACAGCCTCGACCGGCTGGGCTCCGGCAATCCTTCCGCCTCAGTCTTCCAAGTAGCCGGAATTACAGGCGCACGCTACCACGCCTGGCTGATTTTTTTATTTATTGTAGAGATGAGGTCTCGCTGCCCAGGTGGGTCGCAAACCCGTGGGCTCAGGCAATCCACTCACCTCAGCCTCCCAAAGGCGTGGGATTACAGGCTGAGCCACCGAGCCCGGCTGCACCTTCAGGCTTTCTGGGGAAAGATTGTCCCATAGTGGGTGGAATGCCTGACCTTTTGCAAGCTCCCTGATAACCATTGCCCTAACTTCATTTGTTTGGGGTGTGGAGGACGAGATATTTTATTTGTTTATTTTTTGAGTTGGAGTCTCACTCCCTCGCCCAGGTTGGAGCACAGTGGCATGTTCACGGCCACCCCAGCATCGACCAGCTAGGCTCCGGCGATCCTTCTGCCTCAGCCTTCCAAGTAGCTGGGACTACAGGTGCATGCTACCACACCTAGCTAATGTTTAATATATTGTAGAGACGAGGTCTTGCCAAGTTGCCCAGGCTGGTCTTGAACTTGTGGACTCAGGCAATTCACTCGCTTCAGCCTCTCAAAGTGTGGGATTACAGGCTGAGCTACTGAGCCTGGCCAGCAAGCTATTTTCATTGAGAATTCTGAGTCTTCATCCTTTTCTCTTAGCTTCAAGTTGAACATTTAAGTAAATTTTTTTCTTTTGAGTCAGGCTCTCACTCTGTTCCAGGCTGGAGTGCAGTGGCACCCTCATGGCTCACTGCAGCCTCAGCCCCTTGGGCCTCCTAAGTAGCTGGAACTGCAGGCCACCAAGCCTGGCTAATTTTTACTATTTTATTTTTTGTAGAGATGAGGTCTCACTATGTTGCCCAGTCTGATCTTGCACCCCTAGGATCAAGCAATCCTCTAGCCTCAGCCTACCAAAGTGCTGGAATTACAGGTATGAGCCACCGCACTGGCCTTGAACAAATTTTCAGTCTTAATTTAAGGGAATAATTTCTTCACCTGTAAAATGGGGACAAGGGTAGCTATAACCTAGAGATGATGGAAGTGAAGCCACCTTGTAACTGATAAAGCTCTGTACAAATGTTAGTTGCTAAGGTTAGTTTCACCAACCTGTGTAGATTTTTAACTAAACCTTGCATGGATTGCACTGACTGCCCCATTTGACTGGGCATGAATATCTTTGGATGGACTAAGGAGAAAATATACTTCTTTTCACAAGAGTAACACCAACGACTACACTTCCCATGTAGAAAGAGAGCAGTCTGGAGAATTCATCTAGACCTAGGGATGGGAGATTATTAGAAAAAGAAAACCTTTGTGACCCACCCAGGCAACTTGGCAAGACCTCATCTCTACAAAAAATCAAAAAATTAGCCGGGTGTTGTAGCATGCGCCTGTAGTTCCAGCTACTTGGAAGCCTGAGCTGAAGGATCGCTGGAGCCCAGCAGGTCGAGGCTGTGGTGGCCGGGAGTGTGCCACTGCACTCTAGTCTGGGTGACAGAGTGAGACTCCAACTCAGAAAAAAAAAAAAGAAAGAAAAAAGAAAACCAAGGTGTTGGGCTTGAGAGGGAACATGGCCTGCGCAGCCAGAAGCAGACCATGACTAAAATACAGTCTCCTGGCTTCTCACCAACATACCTCATTATTGAGCTCCTTCATCATAATAACTGCCATTTATTGAAATCCCACTATATGCATGCATGGGAACCAATAATTTATCGCTAGTCATACAACCCTGTGAAATATTACTGCGCCCACTTCTTGGATGACAGGTCTGAGGTTCACAAAGACCATTTGCCCAAGCTCCTACTGAAAGTCTAAGACATTTCCTGAGATTGACTTGGGGTCGGGTTGCCAGAAAACAACGAATAATTTTTTAGCACTAAGCTATACTTAGTATATTTTACTTATACTTAACATGTAATGGTTGTTTAGCTGAAATTCAAATTTAACTAAACATCTCTTTTTTTTTTTTTTTTTTGAGTCATCGTCTCACTCTGTCGCCCAGGCTGGGGTGCCGTGGCACGCTCACGGCCACCGTAGCCTCGACCTAATGGGCTCAGGCAATCCTTCTGCCTCAGCCTTCCTAGTAGCTGGAACTACAGGAACCCGCCAACACGCCTAGCTAATTTTTTGATTTATTGTAGAGACGAGGTCTCGCCAAGTTGCCCGGACTGGTCTCGAACTCGTGAGTTCAGGCAACCCTCTCACCTCGGCCTCCCAAAGAGCTGGGACTATAGGCGTGAGCCACCGTACTCAGCCACATCCCTTTTTTCATTTGCTATCTATTTTTATTTGCAACCCTAGCTTCGGGCTATCTGGCAAAATCAAAGCAAGCTCCTCCCGGTGACGCCCTATGCCTCAGTTGGCTTTAGAGCAGTCATTAACAGTAAGAGCAGGCTCCAGAGGCCGCTTTAGGAGGCGGAGGGCGAACACGGGAGACACGCCTGCCCCTCTTCAACATGTCTGCCAATGAGCCGTCAGGAGGACCTTCCGCCCGGCACAAATATGGCCGCGCCCCACGGCCGAGAATCGACTTCCTCCGAAAGCCCAGCCTCCCTCGGCTAAGGCAGCCCTTTCCATTGGGCAGTTACAAAAGATGGCGGAGCCCCGTCCCCCGCCTGTCCTCGCGCGCAGCACTCGCGGCGCGGGGGCGGGGTCGTAGCGGCGGCCTGGAGCACGGGATCCATTGATTGGTGGAGAGCGGTGGCCGAGCCGTCACGTGGCCCTGGGCGCGTTTGTTTGCGGAAGTAGGAGGAAGTAGAAGTGCTGAGTAAGCCGAGGTGAGTGACCTCGCTCAGGGGCGGTATCTGGGGGGGGATCCCTTCTCCAACCCCCTCGGCGCCCCAGACTCCGACGACTCTGCCGGGATCCTCGTTTGGATCGTCATCGTGTCTCCGATTCTGAGGCATATCCTCCACTGATCCTTGTGTGACCCCCTGAGTGGCCCTAGCTCCCATCCTTTGATCCCCCGGCGTCCCCAACTCCCGTCCCGGGACCGCTCTTGTCTCGTCTTGAACTTGTGCTCCTCAAGAACCCCCGCTTCGACCCTAGGTTCCCCTCGGTACTCCAGTCTTCTCCGTGTGTCTCCCTCAGTATTCCTAACTTCGTAAGTCATCCCCCTCTCCCCTTTTCCCAACTCTCCTTGCCTCTCTGGGGCCCATGTTTCTCCCCAGCTTCCTTCCTGTGCCCATCTAAGTGCTCCTAATTTTCCACCTCAGTGTATTTCTCCTTGACCCCCCACTTCACCTCTGTCTCTCTTCTGCATTCCTCCGTTTGTGGCTCCCCTGTTCCCTTTTCTAACTCCCTGCTCCCCCTCCCCCACTTCTCACATACTTCCAGATTTCATCTAGACCTCACATGTCCATCCTTCCACACAGCCTAGTCACCCCCGAGTCTCCCACTCCCAAGCCTGTGTCCACCCCCGGCTCCCTGACCTGGAAGCTGGTGATTGTGTGTGACCCGTGTGATCATATGACTGGGCCCAGGGCGAGCCGGTGGGTGTGGGACAGGGAGGGCACAGGGCTCAGGGATCTGTGCTCATATTTTTAATGGACTACCTACGTGACCCCAAACAAATACCTTCCCTTCCCCTGGGCTTCTAGGTCTTTCCCTCACCTGCCTCTTACCCACCCAACAGGATGTCAGGCACATTTGGTTTGGCAACACTGATGCTCCACCCTTGGGCTGAATGCAGTGTTTTTGTTATTGTCCCTGCCTTAAAATATTCCTGGAGTTTGGAGGCTATTTTCTGTCCAGGTCTCAGTTTCCTCATCTGTGACAAGAGGGCCGTGTTCCCTGCCCTCATGAGGTTTAAAGTTTGAGTAAGAAAATGTAGAAGGGAAAGCTTTGTAACCAGTGTGGCCCTGTACAAATGCGTGGTGTTGCTATTGCGTCATAGACAGGATTGGAAAGGGAAAGGAGTAGGAAGAGAAGACAAGGAGAGAAAGACTCATTCATCACTTGACAGCGTTTGTTGATCATCCCCTGTGAGTCAGACTTTTATATATGTTATCTTTACCATTCACTCAGTCATCATTTATTCAGCAAACATTGATCGATTGTTTACTGTTCTAGGCTACCTTTGATGTAGCCCATATTATTCCCATTTAATGTGAGGAAGAGAGGGCCAGTGAGTTGCCTGAGGTCACACCGATGAGGCTGGTGCTGGAATTCTAAGACAGTACAATAGGACATTAAGCCTGTGTGATCTCTCACCCTGCTGTGTGAGATTCACTACTGTTGTCTCAGTGCCCAGGGTTTATTTTCCCCCCTTTCCATGAGTGACCTTCTTGTTAGATGGCAGTATCCCCAAAAGGGAATTTTCTTCTAACTCATCGGAGTGATATCACCAAGAAACAGAGAAAAGAGAAATTTAAATGCTGTGTGGGTGTGTCTGCACGCATGCCTGGGTGGGTAGGGGGAGTGGGTGGGTAACGGGCTAGAAGAGTGTGTTACAAGCTTCCTTGAGAGAACAGGTTTTGTGTTTCATAGTGGATCATAATAGGGCCATGTCTTTTTTTTTTTTGAGTTGGAGTCACTCAGTTGCCAGACTGGAGTGCAGTGACCGCTCCCGACCACTGCAGCCTCGACCTGCTGGGCTCCGGTGATTCCTCCGCCTCAGCCTTCCAAGTAGCTGGAACTACAGGCGTGCACTACCATGCCTGGCTAATTTTTTGATTTATTGTAGAGATGAGGTCTCACCAAGTTGCCCAGGCGGGTCTCGAACCCATGGGCTCAGGCAATCCACTCACCTTGGCCTCCCAAAGCGTGGGATTACAGGCTGAGCCACCGAGCCCAGCCAATAGGGCCATGTCTTAAATGCTTCTTACTTTTGGATTGTGAGCTCATCTAATCGCATAGCTGTAAGTACCGTCTCTACTCTGATGACCCTCAAATTTGTATCCCCCTTGGCGAGGCCAGATCTTTCCGTGGAATGATAGACTTGGATATCTAGTTGCTCACTCAGCACCTCCAACTTAAGCATTTTAGACTTAAAGTATTGAGAATTGCGCTGCCGATAGTTGTCCCCTCCATCCCTTATCCTACCCTTCACCAGATCTTGTCCCTCCAACTCTCTTTCCCATCTTAGGAAATGACAGTGTTGTTCATTCTGTTGTTCAGGCTGATGCTGTGAGATTTTCCTCGCTGCCTCTCTTTTTCTCACTCCACATTCTGCCAGAGTGATCTTGTTAAAATATCATCCTGAGCCGGGCTCGGTGGCTCAGCCTGTAATCCCACGCCTTTGGGAGGCTGAGGTGAGTGGATTGCCTGAGCCCACGGGTTCGAGACCCGCCTGGGCAGCGAGACCTCATCTCTACAATAAATCAAAAAATCAGCCGGGCGGGGTAGCGCGTGCCTGTAGTTCCAGCTACTTGAAAGGCTGAGGCGGAAGGATCGCCGGAGCCCAGCAGGTCGAGGCTGCGGTGGCCGGGAGCAGCCACTGCACTCCAGTCTGGGCGACAGAGTGAGACTCCAACTCAAAAAAAAAAAAATCATCCCTTTATCCCAAGTCCTGCAATGGCTTCTCTTATTGCACACACCTGGCCCCCTATTACCTCTGTGATCTCACTGGCTTGCTGGCTGTTCCTGGAACTCACTAAGCATGCTCCAGCTCCAGGGCCTTTGCACGTGCTCTCTCCTCTGCCTAGAGAGCTCTTCGCCTTTATTTCCATATGACTTTTGAGATCTCTTCCTTCAGGCATTTATTTAAGGTCAAGTTCTTTGTGAAGACTTCCCTAGTCACCCTTTATACAATTTCAGTCTCTACCCCAACACTTCCTGTCCCTCTTCTCTGGCTTATTTTTCTTCTCAGCAGTTCATCAGCATCTAAATGCTTTGTATGGATTTTGCCTTTTTATCTTCTTTATTTATTGTAACCCTCTCTAAAATATAAGTTCTGTGAGGGCAGAGATTTTGTCTATCATGTTCACTATTGTATCTTCAGCAGTTAGAACAATCCCTGCCAAAATAGATCCTTGGTAAATATTTGTGGAGTGAATCATAACATGGGCCACCCTTTCCATGCCACCAACCCAAAGAGCTCTTAGAGTTACCCATGTGTCATATCCTTGGGAGCTCCAGTAACAGTTCTGAGGCAGTTTGCTTCCAGCCATGGTCCAGCCAAGCAGGGCAAATGAAAGAAACACTTTTTCCTTTGTGAAAGGGCATTTTACTCTGGTTCATGTGAACAGGGGTCCACTTTGAGATGATGGCCTTGGCTCTTGGAATACAAGAGACTGAAAATGAAACCTGGCTCAGTCACTTTCCATTCAGGCTTTCTCCTAAAGGCAGCTTGAGGATTAAGAGCTTGGTGCACTGGATTCCAACTAATTGGGTTCAGATCATGGCAAATTACATAACCTTGTGCCCCAGTTTCCTGTGTGTAATATGGGGAGAACTGTCCCTTCTACAGGTGTTTTGAGGATTAGATGTGAGTCACCTGAAACACTGGTGAGGCGTCTGTGTTCGGTGAGTGCCAGCTGTCAGTGGCCGTGCTGTGGGGGTGTAAGGTGATGAGAGAGAGCCTTTCCTCTCTCACTTAGAAAAGAGTGTAGAGGGACCTAGGGTCAGAGTAGACATTTGGAGAGATATTTTTTTGGGGGGGAGAGAGGCAGCCTTTAGGTCCAGAGGCTCAGATGGGAGCCAGTAATGACATTCCATGTGACCCCTCCATCTGTGCAGTCTGTGCTCACCCACATGAATTGAGCACCTGCTGTGTGACAGGTCCTTTGCCTGGTGCTGTTCAGGAGTCAGAGGAAGAAGGCACGTGTCCAGCCTCAGGCAAGACCCCCATTTCCCCTCTCTGGGTTTTGGTTTCCCCATATGACATACAGGGGTAATGATCCAAGCTCCCCCATTTCTCTGTGAGTTTGGAGGTGGCTAGCAGGTGTGACCAGCCTTTGCCAACCCTAAAGCATGTGGCTTGTGAGATAGTGGAGGCCAGTGTATGGCAGCATGCTCACGTGCTGGCAGTTCAGATGCTGAAGCTGCAGGAAGGAAGTGAGGGCAGGCGAGGCTCTCTGATCAGACCCCACATTCTCAGCGTACTCTGTCATGATGGGGTGGGAGTAGGGTGTCACTATCCTGCAGGACCATCTAGCACTTGCTCCAATCACGGGACATCCTGTCACAGCCAGGCTCATGAGGCCTGATTTCCACCTTGGGCAGTTCCCTGTGTGCTCCTGGAATCCTCCACGTGGCCAGTCATGTGAGGTCTGCATCCTGGCCTGCTGCCTGTGGGATCCTGTCATGCACCTCCCAGGCAGCTGTCCCACTCCTCCGGCCTCGGCTTGGTCAAGAAGGAAGCAGAGGACTTGAGAAGTTGTTCCTGCCTAGACTAGGAACAACCCAAGCTTAAGCACCCTGGTGGTATATAAAGCGGAACTTTCCAGACAAAAGCCTTGGAGGGAGCGGCCCCAGCACCCAGTGCCACTCCAGAGGCACAGCAGGTGCTGTGTAAGGGTCCCCTGGCGCAGGAATGAACTCAGGAGCAGTTAGCAACGAGTTGGATTTGAGCACAGCATTTCCGCTGTGGAGAGGACTTGGCAGCTCAACATGAGTGGGAAGAGAGCATGTGGTCCCCCTTGTCACTTGCAAGAGAATAGGTGTAGGTCTCAGAGGGGCCGGGCCCTGTGGACTTATAGTTGGTTCATTAATTTGTTCTCATTCATTTGTTCACCACACATTTATTTAACACCCACTGTGAGTCAGGAACAGCATGCTAGGTGGTAGAGAAACAATCACAGGACCTGGGTGGGCAACCCAAGGGAACAGACACACT